AAGATGGATGTGTCTCGTGGCGATGGCTACTGGATTCTGGGATGTATCTTTTCCTCTCTCTGTTTTTCTTTCTACTTCTCAGAGTAAAAACGTCAACATCGAAGACATCTTCCAGCCGAGGGTAAGTTTCATATCTCTCTCTCTCTCTCTCTCTCTCTCTCTCTCTCTCTCTCGCTTGCACGCCAATGAATTCTTTATCAAGTTATAGAGCAAACCCGAGTTAATGGTACGTCTTAATTCTTGTTATTTGCTCAAGACGTTTCATCCTTTTATCGAGTTCGTCGCAGAATCTGTTAGCATTAAAGACGCTCAGCCCTTCGACTTGTTACTTAATTCACTCCACGGGAAAGGATTTTTTTTTTTCTTTTAACGAAATGACAATTTCTAATGCACGAGGATGAAATGTAGAAATCTCTTCAGAAATCTGAGTTGTAAAATAATATAAAGTAAGTGATAAAACTTTAATAAACATAGTTTATGTAAACGTAGTAATAATACACGCCGTTTAGTCTGGTAGTAGTTTACTGACATTCCAGAGGTACCTGCCGAGTCAACGCCTTGAAGATGGAGGCAGCAAGTATCTCTGAAACGTCGGAAAATTTCTAGCAGACTAAACGGTACTCCGGCCCAGAATACGGCCATCTTCAGACTGCTTTGATAGTTCTGTCACACATAAAATAAATCAAATTCAAATAATTAATGCCGTATTTGCATGTAAACAGTGTACCACTAGTCTGCAAATTTCTTATTCGCTATGCACGTAACAGTAAGGCACTGAAGAAAGGCCTCTGGCACAGGTCACTTATACGACCGTTCGACTCTTACAGCTCAACATCCATTTTACAACAATTTTCGAGTTGCGAGCAGCTGCCGAAGAGGCCCTCGTCTTCCGTCCGAAACAAGAGGAACTCTGCAAATCACGCTTGGCGCAAATCGCTCGCTACGTTGCAGCTACGGGCCAGGTACGATAAAATATCAATACGTTTAACCCTGTGAAGCCGAAGATCGTCGAAATATTTAAGAATTCAGTCCGTACCGCGAAGAAAACACCACACTTCACCATTACAAAGATCAACCGGTTAACGCTGTTTAAAGTAAATAATCTCTCGTTACAGTGAGATTCATAGTTCGTCTGATTAAGATTTAAGAATTGAGTCCGTACCGCGAAGAAAACACCACACTTCACCATTACGAAGATCAACTGGTTAACGCTGTTTAAAGTAAATAATTTCCCGTTACAGTGAGATTCATAGTTCGTCTGATTAAGATTTAAGAATTGAGTCCGTACCGCGAAGAAAACACCACACTTCACCATTACAAAGATCAACTGGTTAACTCTGTTTAAGTAAACAGTCGCTGTTTGCACTTAGAATCATGCGAAACACACAAATACTAAACGCAATATTACTGATTTTTAAAGCACCTGGTACGTATAGTTACCACAAGACTTTAAAGAGTTAATTTACACATATTAAATCCTTCGAAAATGTCGTAGAATTTAAAGACATGGGAACGGTTATAACAGATGAAAATTACATTCACAAAAAATTTTAAGACCAAATTAAACTCAGAGAATGCTTGTTAACTTTCATCTCGTAATCCGAGATATATTAAAATTTTAACCAAAGAATTTAAATATGTGAAACAATTTTCAAAACCTGGGCATAGTTTAAATGATAATATTACAAAAACAACTTTAAAATAGAATTTAAAGGCTTGAACTGGATTCATCTGTGTCGGGATATGCACCAGTTGCGGGCTTTTGTGAATATGGTAATGAACCTTCTGATTCCACAAAAGGCCAGTGTTCTTTGACCATATGAGATTCTTCATGAAGAATCCGCTTTGTAATATTTGTTTGTCTGGCATACGTAAGTGTGCGTGTTTCAAAATAAGTGTTTGGTTATGGATTCGCAGGCAATTACGTCGATAGTACCTTCACCTCTAGGTCTACTGAAAGCCTTCCGGTGAATGAGGATGTAGTTATTTTTTTCGCCGTCCTGAATATTTTAAAATTAAAACAAACATCAGCTCTGCCTCTGGGCAGAATAATTATAAACAGCACTTGCATGGAGGGACTGACGAAACCCTCCAGTCCCGACACTAAACTGCATTGGGTGATAACAGACATTTAAGAAAAAGTATGCGTTTTTGAAAATTAACAATATGATGGCCGCGTAGATCTTTAGTGGCTTTTGATCTGATCACGATAAATATAAAAACCGTTACAGCAGAGATCTATGAAAGTTTATAATGAAGGTAGACCACGACGTACATATCCTATATAAATATTAATTTATGTGCTGACAATTTCAAAACAGTGCGTATCTCTGATGATATATGCGATCAACAAGCATATTTTAAGCCTGTATTGTGGTAGCGTAGCGGTGCGAGTTCTGAGCAGTCTTCAGTCGCCTGGGTTCCGCTGTTCGTGTTACAATTTTGTACAATTCTGTTGTGACCTTGAAGCTGGAAAACTAAGTTATATGATTATTTATTCGTAAGATTTGTCTTCGGCATTTGGATTGAAACATTTGAAGCGTGCGACTGCGTATTTCTAATTTACACGAGACGCTTCAGACTAAGCTGAACGCTGTACTAGCGCGTCATTTAAAAAAAAAACTAACTTCGCACATTTTTTTAACGAATTCTATTCCTAGAGGATGCAGACTGCTCCCAAAGGATACTACCCCTTCTAGAGACAAAACTGGAAGCTTGGTATTACGCTGAAGGGGTGGAGGGAATATCTGCGCAGCTCTGGTTGTGTTTGGTTACAAGATTGCTCTGAATAAAACATTAGAAAGCTTCTTTCCCGCGTCGGGTAAGGGCAGAAATATACGGTGGGTCGGAAGCCCAGGGCCTAATCGTGGTAACAAAATGTGTTCACCTCATTTATCTCTCGCATTTGAAGAGACTTCGCTTACATCAGCAACGAGCTTCATTCATAAATTTCTAACGGGACTTGCACGATAATGCAAAGAATAAATTGAATTTATATTTCCAAATAAATGTATTCTCTTTATCCACAAACATGGTACAGCAACTTAATTATTATTATTAATAATAATATAATTAAGAAGTAAACGGAGAAGATCTTGAAATACAGCGAGTGTGGAAAGTGATTCCAATAATTAAAGGATAAACTGGAACTGTCTCCAAGTCAATTTGAAAATATTTGGCCAACATCCCGGGCGAACACGACATCAGGGAACTTCAGAGAACCGCCATTTTAGGATCTTCTTACATCATTCGAAAGATATGTAGTCATCCCTCACGATAAAACTATATAATACATGTAACACGTATTAAAAACAAAATGTATTTCGGAAATAGCCACTGCGCTATGTACCTCAGGGACAAGGTCTGTCTCGGGTACACATAAGTAAATCCCCTATAAAGTGGTGGATACATGGAATTATTCAATTCAATTCATTTATGATAATAATAATAATAATAATAAATCTTGTGACGTATAAACACACAAGCTACGATTTTGGATATTTCATCTCCACTTGAGAGTCGAAATTACATTTTCCAGACGGTAGGCCCTTACAGTTTTGTGTATCGTGATACTTATCAGTAACTCTATGACTGAAACTTACACGACGTTGGGACGACAAGAATGCTGGCTGAGTATTAAAAATGGCGCTAGTACAGACTGGGGAAAATAATACTGTGTATTAGTGACTTCAAAATTCCTGGAAACTAACAGCTATTCTATTATACTAGTCATCCAAGACGAATTTCACCTCAAGATGAGAAACAACTGAATAAGAACTCAATACTTTCGGTCATTAAAAACGCAAACAGAACGTTCTCTTTACTCAGACTATGGACTCGACTGTACCGGACGCCGGAGATAATTGTTTTCAAAATGGAGTGGCCAAGGCGTCCGCCTTGACCGTTACGAGCCGCTCATAAGCGACGCTCAGGCGCCAAATTGTTGGCCGGCGTCTAAGTCGCGTTACCAATTATAAAGTTTCAGTCTTCTGCGTCGCAGTTAATGATTTGTTCTAAAGTCTTGCATTTATGTGGGAATATCGACTCTAACCTAAGAGTAGGCGCCATGCTGCTGTTGAAACAGATGAAACACGACTTTCGCCACTAAACAATACGAAAGTACCTCAGAATGAACAAGGTTCATTGCGACTGTAAAGCTGTATTATTTAAGAGTTATTCCAGCGTTGTTTGCATTGTTCTAAAAATTTATGCATTTGAAAATAACCAAGAGACGGAAATGCCTTATTTTTTCCAAACAAAAATACAAGCTAAAAGCTGTTTCACATCATTATCATCGCTGAATGTTCTGAGAAGACTTTAAATAGAGAAATGTTGTCTCAAAGGAAAATGAAGAAATTTTGATAAAGTTTCCCCGAAAGTAAACCTTTCAATAGGACTTGAATCTTATCTACAACAGAGATCTTAAGACGCTTACTTCACAGCAAGACGTGGTGACGTGCCTGCGAGTAGAAAGATCAGACGAGTTGCAAAACGACGTAAGTCCCATGCCAAATTCATTTTGTATCGCAGAAACATCTATAGATTAGAACGGCGTTGAATGATACACATTAAATATTTTATAAGACTATATTTGAGGACTAACATTTTTCTTTAAAATACATTCTAGAGAAATTTTTGTTTATCGCAAATACATTCTATTCATACTACCCGGACAGACGAGTCTGTATGCTTCAACACAGTACACGTATTTTTCACAACTAACCGTCTTAGTTGATATTCGCATCTACTATTAATATTTAATATAAGTTATTCAACATATTTTAAAATATTTATTTTATCTGAGATGAAATATGCAAACAGATAGACACAATTTTTCCTAAATACCTCCGTGCGTTCGGAAGTAAATAAATCACGATTAATAACGATAAGGATTTAACATTTTCTCCTTAAAATATAAAATAATTTTGTTTATATAAACGCTATATCCCTTAATACAAATTCCATGTCACCAACGTTTCAATACAGCGTATTTTAACAGACCTTGCAAACATCGTCGCTTGACTGACTTGGATATAGTCAGTTTTGCCTCTCGGCTAAGCAACTCAAGTATAATGCCACACACAATAAACCTGTCTCTTGATCCTGATTCTCTGTCGTCTTTGAAACCACCCCCTGCAGCTTTTTAGGGCACTGAAGTAAAATCAAGGCGATGATTGACCTTTCAGACCTCAGGTACAGAAGGGAATTGAGCGATTATGTCAACAAAGAATGGAGTTTTTTTCTTCAATATAAAGGCTTGAGATACGTCGTCCACTGTCTACTTTATGTATCGGTCCGCTTGTTCCGAATGTAATCTTAAGAACGTAGAGGCGATCTGGTCTCAAAGCGCAAAATGTTCACTAGCCAGGGCTGCCTCCACCAACATCTCCTAGTAATAGAGGCAGTTGGTGTCTCTGAAACGTCGGTAAACTTTTTCCAGAGTATACAAGAGGTAGAAACACATTATAATTAAGCTTTAGTTAGGAATTTTATAAAAAAAAATTATATGTCAAGCTAAGAAATATACAAAAACTTACGACATTTATCAGTATTAACGATAATATGTTCATTCTTTTTTTTGTATCAGAATTAATCCAACAGCAGTTAAAATTGTTGGACAATTTTGAGTTATTTTTCTACCCTTAAAATCCTTTCGCGCTCCACGCTTTGGGAAACGACGTCTTAGACCGTTAATTCACGGGCAAAAACACGCCAACGTTCCGTTTTCTAACCACTTTGCCCACATTCAATTGGGATGGGGGGAGTGAGTGTAGTCAGATGAAAAGAATTGTTTGCAAGACTTCGTCTCCGAAAACAATAATAGAAACTTCCCAGAAAGTCCTTGGACGACGTCCAGAGGAGAACAATGTTACGCCGATTCTGTATTCAAGATTCGTTTCCATTATCTTGACGTCCCAAATCTTATTTTTGAGCAGGGGGTACAGGCTGTAAATATTTCTTTCTTACATTGACAGTCTAAGAAGTTGATGAAGTGTCTTTAAATAAACCAAGTAGTAACCGTGAAAAATCCAAACGCCTTTTACAGGGCACACAAACAAGCAAGGATTGGTGTATGAATATTGATCAACGCTGTTTCATGACGGAATTGTGTATGAGTTAAAAAAGAGACAATATTTCCCGCTTTACAATTCCCAATCGACACAACCCACATTCGCAGTAAGACAGTGGGGCACCGTCACAACCCAGCGTACAAAGTGCCATGGGATACTTACAATTCAGGTCAGAGCATTTCCCAGCCTTTTTGCACGAACTGCGAGACGCTGACGAAAACAGGAAAGTTCTCTCTCTCTCTCTCATTTTGGCAAGTTTCATCTCCGAAAACCACTGAACGATCTGTAATTAAACTCGGTAATGACGATCTAAATCTGCTAAAACGTCGAGAGAATCTTAAGTTGGTTGCTGTCGGCCTAACACGGCACCTACTTTCACGCGAGGCGAATATAAAAACAATTTAAGTATTTCCTCAAAAACGCCTCGTTCTCAGCAGACCTAAACATACAGAAAAGCAGACAATCCTCTAACACGCCATATCAAGTAGGTTTACTGACTTTTACTTTGAAGAAACTGTGTTCGAATGTCAGCTGGAACACAGAAAGACCTATGTCAACAGAGATTTAAAACTTTGTGGGTCCTTCTACCAAAGTGCCTTAATAGTACATTAAAATAAGACACGATCACTTCACCTCAGCACTTAACCAACTATATGACTTACCGAACCCGAAGGTTCATCACCGAATTAACCAAAGCCCTCCACCGGACCCTGTCCTGGGCCAACAAAATCCAGTCTCCTTCAACTCCTATCTCCCATAGATCCCGCCTGAGATTATCCTCC